ACTGTTCACTACCTAATTAGCAACAAATCTGTGATTGGGGGGGGGGAGGGGGGAGGGGGGGCCTGGCTCCCTGTCTCTGCCATTGTTTGAGGAGGAGGAAGAAGCGGAGGTTTCATTTTGATCCAACAATCAAGATTAGTTTGACCGAACAGATTTTTTTTCCAGGCTACCGTGTAACAGTTGGCCTCATAAACATACACCTTGATGGATGTTTGAACCTTTATAATTGACACATCTCATAAAATCACGAAAGGCATTGCGTTGCTTTAAAAAGTAGTGTGTGTATCTGCGGCTGTAGATCCTGCCAACCGTTCTCCTCGCAGGAAATAGAAACATATAGCTTGGTTAAATAATCTTCCCCCATCTACAAAACTAAATCTCTACAGGCTTATAATGCAAAATTCGCAAGGCACGCAAGAAGAGGAAAGCAAAGCCTGGGGAGCTGTCGTGGGCGCTGACGCACGCCATTGCCGCGTTTGTGCGCACTGACGCCAGATAGATATAGACTGCTTCACCGTTAATCTGGAAACCAGGCATGCAAACAGCGACGACTATTCCTCCGCCGGACAGAAGCCGCTTACTATTCCTCGGCCTACACTGACCAGTGACAGTGACTCATCCGGTCAATGGATCGCATCCGTGCGCCCCAAACAATCGCCACGGGCTTCATTTTCCTGCACGCGCCGGCGCCGCGGCTTCGCCAGCGCTTCCGTCGCCAGCCAGCGACGGGACAAGGAGAAACAGAGAATGTTCCGAGCGAACAGCGTGGAAGCGGCGGAGATGAGACTGGCCGGCCGTGGCCGGGCGGCTACTGTTCAACGTCTCCGGCCCGACAAGTAGGTAAGAGATTGGTGTCTCTGCAGAGATCTGAGTCGTCGTGGTCGCTTCGTTGCCTTTCTCGATCGGTCGGTCAGTCGTAGATGCTCAGGACAGTGATAACGCATGACTGCTAAAGAAAGAATTTTGTAATTGCCAATCATGCCTGGCACATTCCGTTTCTACTGGCTGGACGATTCCGCATGACTTATCAGATTAGTAATCATCTTAGATAGAAGAAGAGTCAACTACGTACATCTTTTGTACTACTAAATGCTGTTATCGAACCAATTAGGTAGATAACACCATGAATCAGTTCACTGCGCATTTTCCCTAAAGTTGGTGCGCTTTTTATCAATTCAGAAAGTTGCAACAAACATTATAGCAGACTGAACTATTATTATTATCTCTGTGTTTTGCAGTGAGCCGTGTACTCGACTCCACTTAATAAACTCTAAAGATGCGCTCAATGAAGACGACGGGGCCAGGACCAAAACGCCCCTGCATCAGTATCTAAGCTACTCCGTCAGTCAGTATTTAGCAGCGCCGGGGTGTATCAGATTCAGAGATAGCAGGGCCGATTGATCTGGGGACGTGCTTCACTGAGCCGACGACTGACGACACAGCAGCGATTCTGGGTTCTCGTCGTTGCCCGCGGCCGGCTTCCTTGCTGCTTCTCGTGTCGCCGTCGGGTCCTCGGCCGGCGTCTCTCGGGCGTATTGATTTGAAAATTCTAGAGTATAACGCGACTACGTACGTGCGGTTGAATAGTTTACCGAAAGTAAAAAGAAGCCGACGGTTGACTTGAATAGTCATCTTGTAGTGATCTTAAAGATCTTATATTAGTTTACACAGTGGAGTATTGTAAATACGAGTTTGATCCTCATAATTTTATCAATAATACTACATCTAC